AAATTATTATAACAGAGCAAACATGTTATAAGATAACATATATGTCAAAGAATGAATTTTACAGAAGAGCCTGTATTTCTCATTTTTATATATATTAAGTATATTTTGCTGGTTTTTAGGTTTAACTTTGTGGTGTTGTTGATGTCAGTAACTTCTTCTGATCCCAAAAAACAAAAATGAACAACAAAACAACTGTCAAGAAAGATTTGTGTGTTTTCGTCTGTTGGACATGTGACAATGTCAAAGCAGTAAAACACGATTTGTATGCATCTGATCGGTTTAGCGGGCTTATATTCATGACTTTGAGCTGAGAAGTAAACTACTTAAGCCCCAACAGCAGCAGCAGCAGCAGCAGCAGCAGCAGCAGGATAAATGATGCTTCATTTTGTCAAGTACGCTGTGGCATTCATGAAGATACACACACACACACTGATCCAACAGAGCCACAAATCAAATCATCTCAAGATCTAAGGAAGTTTACTTTGGATGAATAATTGTGCTCCATAACGACAAAAAAGTCACTTGACTCATTCTGTAATGCAATCAAACCCCTAAACACTGACTGGAGAGTTGCCTTTGCATCATCTCAAAAGCACCAACACCTCACAAAAAAAAGGCAGAACTTATTGTAAATTCTGATTGTTTTTAGTTTTTCTGCCCATTACGCAAATGGAAAATATTGTTTCTCTCACCCTGGGACCCAATGCCCATTAAAGAGTGATGAAACAGAATGTAAGTGCTCGTCTCCACTCAACCCCCCACTGCAAATTTAGGAAGAGGAGATATGATAGAATCAGCTCAGGCAATTATATAACTTTACAGCTGTGCGCGCTGAATTACAACTCTCATCTCTGAGCCGGCCGTTTCCGGGAGAGAACTGCATATTGTCAACATTTAATTGTCTTCATGTGGAACCTGTTGAGTTGATTCTGCAGGACAAAAGCGTTCTTCAACAAAGACAACGCCGCACATTTAAACCGAGCCAAATACAACACAACCGGCATGCTGCTCCTGCAGGCGCTTCCAACTTAATTTGGCTCAAGTTTGTAAAGCAGCCTCTTTGCAAATGCCCAGTGTCCACAGCCAATTCAGATTTACTGGCTCCAACTGTAGAAAAACCTATTACACTAAGGGATTGCACAAAGGACATTCTAGCTGTGCGCCACTAGAGGGCAGCAAAGACTTAATAGCGTTTCTGCATGAGTTCTACCTGAGTCATTTACCTCCAATCCACACCTCATCAGACACTCATTCCTCTGATTTCCACATCCATGTGTCAGATAATGTTTTTTCTATTTGATTTTTATCAGATATTATTACATAGTTTTGTTACCATTCCAGCAAATACAACTACTAATTCTAAGGATATTGCATGTTGGTTAGTCAAATTAAATATTTTTGAAAATGTGAAACACACACACACACACACACACATAAATATACATACTGTATTATATTCCTGGTATTAAACTGTGATGGTGACCCTCTACGACTTTGTGTTGTGATACATTGATGATGTACTGACATCTGGTGGACAACCCTTGGGATAGGCAGCAAATCCAATTTCTTACTAATACTTAGAAAATATTGACAAAATAGCAGTCATCTTAGAGTGTTCCTTTTGTAAATAAATATACCATGAAGCTCATGTTGTATCAGAAGAGTACGTTTAAGCCGATCATAACATTTGAAGCCACAGTTTGTAGTGTTGTTAACGGCACAATCTGCAGTATAATTTGTTAAAATCCCAAACTGTAACCTGGTGCTACCTAAACTCTGACAGGTCTTGTCACACTTATCAGTGAAAAACAAAATGTAATGCTGCCATCTGTAAAATGATAAAAGTGTCATTTGTTTTGCATTACAATTGATTAGGGGGAAAAAATTCAGGTCAGTTTTTATTTGAGCAAACCACAAACTCATATCCAAAAAGAAGTACATTGGTGCATTGATACAGCAAATGTTACCACAGGTGTTTTTAGTCCAGGGGTTTTTGGCACATGTCATCATGACTTTTGAGTCTCTTCAAAAGTTTCTTCTGCGTGACATAACTTAAAAGCATTCTACAGAGTCGAAATAGCTCTTAAGGCAGGGCTCTGTGACCCTAGTGGATCTCTGCAAACTGCAGTATGTACACCCACTGTGATGATTAAAGCTCAAATATACAAACTGACATTTACCTTGATATTCATCACTTGAATTAACTGCATTTTTAAAAGTTATTTCAAATAATTATTGCCCTCTGAGACTGTATCAGTTATCTGAAATGTAAAAGCAAACATGAGTACCTGCAACCATCAATCAGGATTGCGGGGTTCCTGAAATCTGACCCACAAGTACCAGTGTTCAGACAAAATTAAATATACCCGATAGTCACACATCAATGTCCACAACTGACAGAAATACTATGAATTAAAACAGCGAGGCAGTCAGCATTCACACAGTTTCTCAGTCAGATGAGGAAGACACAACAGGGATATTTGTTGGAATCACAAACAGTTTATTTCCCATGCACACTTCACACAGAACAAGATTAATACCTTTAATGAACACCAACAAGATGCAGCATCATCACAGCATAACCACGGGAGTAAAAAATAAAAAACAGCATTGTTACAATATGCACAGACATCATTAAAGAATCTCCGATATTTTTGGTTTACAACGTCAGGAGCAACAACAACAATAACAACAACAACAAAAAATAAACAGCATTCCCACTAGTGATGTGTCATGCGCATGTACAGTGAATCAGAAGCGCCAACTCCCATCGAGTGAGAGGCAACTCCCGATTTTTTTTTTTTTTTTTGCTGCTCAGTGGCTCAGCTCAGCTCACAGCAGAACTTTGTTTTCATTGGCAGCACCTTGTGGCCAATCACATGTGAGGATTTAACGCCACAGCTGATGTTATAATGGAGATGCTATCTTGAGGAGCCCCTCATCCAAAGAGCAGAAGACCCACTGAGCTGGTGGCGGGCCAAGGCCTCAGTCTACCCCCGCCTGTTGTAGGTGATGGAGGGGAGACAACATCTGTTCCCTCTGAGAGAGTCTTCTCAGAAATAGAGCAGATAATAACCGAGAGGAGAAACCGCATCAGTCCAGCCAAGCCGAGACATTACATTTTTTTGAATGCAAACCTTCACTAAAGACATACTATTTGGTGTTTGAACTGAGTTTTGTTCTGTTTCTGTTCTGGTTCTGTTCTGTGGGTTTGTTTGCAGTGTTTTGTTCATTTGTTTTCATGTTTAATTAAGATTAAAAGTTTGATTAAAGTAATAAACAAAAGTAAGAATGTCTGCTTTTGTAACATAAAAATACACAAAATTAGGCCATTACAAGGCTTCTCATTAAAACACTACATTCAAAAGGGTTTATCAACACACAGAGCATTCATATCTGCCAAGTTAGGCTAAAATATGAGGCCACAGATGATAATAAATTAAGAGCCGTTTGGGAGCCAAAAGAGCCGGCTCTTCTTCGGGAGCCGTGCCAAAAGAGCCGGCTCTTTGAAAAGAGCTGAACTTCCCATCACTAGTTCCCACATTACAGGATCTGCCTCTCCTTCATGTGTTTCTGTTCTTTATACATTTATACATTTCACCATTTCCCTTTGCTCAAGTGCAGATTCATGCATATCTAACTCTAATAGCAGCTCTACATCAAGTGATCTTAGGCAATCTTTACAGCATGCAGACATGTTTAAAGTGATTGCTTAAGACGAGTGCTGGTGATGTCTACGAGTAAACTCTTGCCTCTGGTCTTTCATGTGTTATAATTTCTTGACGTTATCCCACTGAGGTGTTTATGTGGGAGATGCTCTAGAATATAAATTTTTGAATGATTTCACCCTACCCTGGCACACAGGCTCATGAGCAAAGTGCATGCACTTTTACTTTTGTCATGCAGCTTTTCAACAGCAGTGAGCTCTAATTAAGTGTGTTTACATGCATAAGCATTGAAGCAGACTTATTGTTGTTTTTTGGGCTTATTCTTATAGATTAAGAATTTTCGGCATCTAGCTTGTCCCGCAGCTTTAAGAAACCCCATATAGATTATATATCAGAACGTCTGCTCTATGAGGAATGGTGTGTTATGACTTTTGGCAGCTATTTGTTGCGTGGTTTTCATAAAATTCATAGTAAAAAACTGTGTTACAAATCCCCATTGAAATGAATGGGATGTCGGCCAAAATCCAGCCATCTTTGGAACCCTGGCATACTTTTAATTTTTTGAAAAAAGTCCAACTAATTTTGTTTCCTTATCACCGTTTCTCTTCCACATGAACAATTTATATATAATAATTAAGGCATTTTGTCCTCTTTCACCCAGTGTGAGTCTCATTGCTGTAGAAGTTATGATTTTTTCATAAATCACCTCAGAGCACAGAGTGCGCTGACCAACAATCTCATTGACTCACATTATGTTGGGTGAAAATCTGAAACAGTGAGTCTCTCTAACCTGCAGTTAAATCTATATAATAAACAGTACATACATGAGAACACATCAGCTTGTTCAAAACCAGACATACGACTAAAGTTTTTGGGCTGTGGGCGTTAGTCCCAGAAGCTAGTCTTTAGTCTGTCTGTCTGCTCTTCTCACTCCAGTGACTCACACCTGATTGGCTCATTGACACTGGAATACATTTTCAAAGTAAAAGCTCAAAGATGTTTAAAGGTACTGATCAGGGTTTATGAAACATGGTGGCTTTTCAAAATAAAATGAACTTATATAAATTAAACCTTGTGTATAATTACAGCAGGACATATTAACCGGCAGGAATATCTAATTTTTCAATGAGCATCACCTTTTTATTTGCTTTGCGTGGTCTTTAATTGGTTTTTTTTCCGAGGTACTCTTTGTTTTGATAAATGCTTTGTAAAAAGACAACTGTTGTTGTTATCTTTAGAAGTGGTAGTATTGCTATCTCACTCTTTCCAGAACCATGCAGGACATCTGTCACGACTGAGCGCACCAGTAGAAGCCGACCTCGTTGTCCCTTCTCATTCAATCTTCTCAGGCGGAACTGCTTCCATTAGCAGCTGGAGATATATCGTGATGGGCCCTGCAGGTCAGGCAGATAAGCATCAACACCACTATTTATCTGTTCTCCTTGGCCATCACGGCACGACGCATTTTAGTAATTTAAATGTTTACCTTTCATTACACAACATTTCGGAATTTGAGAGAAACTCAGCCGAAAAGTAAACTTACTCATGAGTTTGCGTGCCCACTTGACTTTCAGGTAGACAAAAGGGTAGTAAAGGAGGAGTCCACCGAAGATGAAGATAGTACAGTAGAGGTACTCCAGCTCGGGCTTATCGATGATGGGGGCCATGACGAGATAGACGGAGATCAGGACCATTAAGATTGGGATGACAATTGGCACCTTCAAGCGATCACACAAAGTGTTTTAGTGTTTACATTTCCTGTTGATAGACTGTGTTAGACTCCTGGCACAACAAATAAAGAACTATCCTCATGACAACTATCAGATAGATAGATAGATAGATAGATAGATAGATAGATAGATAGATAGATAGATAGATAGATAGAAACATTAAAAATACATCTAGAAATGCAGTATTGCACTGATAGAGTCAGATTACTGATTTTGAAGCCATCAGTCCAGTCATGAGTCTGTATATGTAAGTTTAGAAGGTTTGTGTCATTCTGTGTAAAATCAAAAATCAAAAAACAAAATAAATCACATCTATTCCTCATCCCTGAACATTTAATGTGGTTACCTCATGTACTTAAAGAGCTCAAAAATGCTGGGAAAAAATAATGCAAATTTAAAAAGCACTACATTTCAACCCATTCCCGACACTGACGAGTGGTTCACACACTCAGTAAAAGATCTTGTATAGAGAGTTTAGCTGTCATTTGTGAGATAACATAAATTTCAGCAAGTGAGCCTTAACCCCATAATACATATCAAGTATAAATACAAGAACCCACAATTTTAAATTAAAAAAAAAAAAAAAGATGCAGTTGTTGTGACTCTTGGTGCCTGTATGTGTTACATAACTAGTGCCTTTGTGTGTGTGTGTGTGTGTGTGTGTGTGTAGGTGTGTGTGTGTGTGTGTGTGTATAGGTGTGTGTGTGTGTTGCTATAACTTAGAATCAGCTGATCTAGAGGCAGTCAGGTGTGAGGCGCTGATTAATTTTTTAAGGAATGACCCATTTCTGTTATCGAACAGTTCAGAACTTCACAGTCGACAATGTTTTGCTACCTAATAAATTAATCACACCTTCACTGTAACTCAAATGACGTCTGACTTGAAGCAATCCCTGATGCACAACATTGTACAACTTTTGCTGTAGATTGAACGTGTGGTTTGAAAGATACATTACTGTTTTATAAGTCAGCCAGTTCATTAAGAATCACGTCATGTCTGTCAAGTTCCTGTTCATGTGTGCATATTTTATGTCTTGTCTTTCCTGTTTTATTTTGAAATCACAAAACCGGTCGTCTCTGTTCTAGATTCACTTCCCACATCTGTCTCGTCACACCTGCTCCCTGATGGCTTTCCCTCACCTGTTTCCCATCTCCCCTCATTACCGCGTGTATATTACCTTGTGTGTCTCACTGTCTCATCGCCAGTTCGTTGCACTCTCATAGTCTTCCTACCAGCGTTCTTCAAGCCATAATCATACTCTGTTTTGTTACGACCTCGCTTCTGTTTTTGACCTTGCCTTTCGCCTCTAACTTTTTGGATACCTCTGCCTGTTCTGACTGACCTCCTGCGTACCGAACCCTGACCAGTAATAAACCTGCTTTTCTGCCTGAACCCTGTCTGAGTCGAGCGTTTGTGTCTGCCTGTTCTGATCTGAGTGAGTTCATGACAAATCATAAAACCGTTGACTCGAAACACTAAAGGATTTCCCTCTAAGATGACAACCTCTATCAGCAAGCGTCACCTTTACTGGTCTGTGGAGGTCCTTCCTGGTGAAACGCATGACTATGAGAGACAGCGCGGCCAGACCATAGAACGCCCACTGAGCAAAGCTGAAGTAGTTAATGAGGGTGTTGATGTCTGCTGGAATAATGTAGAAAATACCCATAATACCCTAAAACAGAGAAAAAAAAACAAACAATGAATTGTCATGTTTACTTGACAGAAAAGACGAGAGTTTATCTGTAATACGTCAGATGACCATGTAAGATAACGTTTAACAGGTAAATATGTAAGACTCACATTGAATATGAGAGCAGGGGCAGGAGTGTAGCGCTTCATACTGATGTAGGAAATGATTTTCACCATATGACCTTCTCTGGCAGCCACATAGGCCAGTCTACAGAAAGAGAAAACATGTTGATCACAGTTTCATATCCTTCTTCTTCTTCTTCTTCAAATTCTCACCTTCACTTTCAAACTCTTTTTTCTTGTGCATACAAACCTGCAAATACATACGAGGTGTGTCAGAAAAGTTTCAGGACTGGTGTCACAAAAGATATATTTCAAATCCAGACTACAAACTACAAGTTTTCTCCTTCCAAGTAATCCCCCTGGAGTCTAACACACTTTCCAGCCTTCTCTGCCACGCCGCCATGCACTCCTGGAAGGATTCTTCCGGGATCCTCCATCATCACAGCCATCTTGATGTCGTCCATGTCTTCCCCCTTGATGACCCCCTTGAGCTTGGGGAAGAGGAAAACATCCCATGGAGCCAGGTGGGGTGAGTAGGGATGTTGCGCCAGCATGGTGATGTTCTTCTCAGCCAGGAACTGTGGGATGTTCAGGGCATTGTGAGCAGGTGTGTTGTCATGGTGAAGCAGCCACGACTTGTCCTGCTACTCTGGCCTCTTCTCGCGCACTGAATGAAGCAAACGCTGCAGGATGTCTTTGTAGATGTGCTGGTTGATCGTATGAAACTGGTAGTTTGTAGTTTGTGTTTGAAACATATCTTTTGTGACAGCAGTCCTGGAACTTTTCTGACACACCTCGTTCAGTTTGACAGGCAGAGAAGTCCTGCATTTCATGTGTAATTTGACAGCTGTCTCTTTTACCTGCCGGCAGTGAAGCAGCTTCCATTGGCAGCACCAAATGTTGAGAAGACAACAAAGAGCGGAATAATCCAAGACACAGGGTAAAGGACTCTGTCTCCAAAAGTCTAAGGAGGCACAAACAAATCCTTCAGAAAAAACAAGGGGCTGGAATGAACGGGCTGTTACTGAGTTTTATGCTAAAGTTCTTGGAAATAAACCAAAAAGTTTGCATATAGTATTTAAATGTGAAACAATGACTGTGTCCTTTAGGAGAGTTTTCATTATTGTCTATTATTATCTAATTTAACGCCACACTGATAACATATTAGAGGCTACTTTTAAAACTCGATGGCACTCAGCTCCTCCATGAGAACTTTTTGTTCTGCTTACCACAGCAACAGCTTGAGACTGCAGCAGCTCAGTGGTGGTCATGACGGTGAAGTAAGAAACGTTGACCAACACATAGCACAGAGAAACCAAGGGGATCCCAATGATGATGGCCAGTGGCAAATTCCTTAGAGTAAATGTAAAAAAAAAAAATTTTATTTACCGGGGGGGCCTTTTCCGGATTCACTTGGGTTGGGTTCCGGGGCCCCATGACCCTAGTGAGGATTAAGCGGTGTATAGATAATGGATGGATAATTAACAGAGGAACACTTTGTTCTGTGCATTGGACACATTTTCACAGGACGTACACTGCAAGTAACACAATTTGTTCACAGTGTTGACAAGCACTCCCTGTTGTCATATGAAGCGTGTACAGTCGTGTCAGATTTGATACTTTGACTTTGCATAACAACTATTACTTATTATCATTTAGTTTTCTTTTTTTAAAATCCCACATTTGTGACTGTGTTACTTTCAATAGTTAAATGTAAACTAAACCTCAAGTTTCTTACCTGAATGGATTTTTTAGCTCCTCTGTGATAAAGTTCAGTTGATTCCTGGAAAAACATTGAAAGAGAAAAACAAGGAGTGATTAAAGTATGTGCTTTAAGTGCTAGCTCATTCTCCTCTGCAGAGCAATACACTAACATTTGAATGTACTCTGATCAGAGAGCTAGAAAAGCTTTGTTTTGTGGACGCTGCTCTCTAAGAAATTACATTACATAATTGTTTTTATGGTAAAACTGTTCAACATTTTGGCAATCAAACTCTGAATAACCCAGACGTAGTATACTGTGTTTGAAAGAGTCTCACGCTTACTGAAAGGAGTTTTACAAGTCGCTCAACTTGAGTTTTTTCCCCATGAAACCTAAAACATTACCTTTTTTAAAATTTAAGCAATAGAGAGTATGTCCTTGTTACATTTCGTCTTTTTTACGTAATACATTGTTTGCCTGCCTTCCTTCTTTTCTATTGTAAGTCTTTTACTGACTGTACTTCTTCATACTTTGATGGGCTTTTAAGCAAAAATGTCACTTGACAACTTGGTTGTTTGATTGCCACACTTCTCACATTTTCTGGAAAGTGTTAGTTATTCAAGTGTGGTGCAGTGGAATGACTTGAGTTGTATTTATCTGACTCATTCACAGTGACAGAGCTTGTAAGAAGCCATTATATTAAGTACGAAATACCACCACTTAGGTACGACTTATGATAAAGCAAGTTGGAAATTAAGTAAACTCCTCATGACATGTGAATTTAACTTAAGAGGGTTAAGTAAATTTAACTGTGCTTATTTATCTGACTAATTTATTTAAAATATTATCTGACTAATTCAAATATTGAGGCCAACCCTACAGTAGTATAGAGGTAAACCCATTGACTACCTTTGAGCAAGCATTTGACAACATTTGAGAAAAAAAACAGCTTTGCTAGATTTGCTTAACCGCAATAATCATTTTTTCCTCTTTTTCCTCTTCATTCAAACAGTGTAACCTGAGTTAAGTACATGTAAAGTTTCATTTCATTTTATTTCCTACATACATGCATGTGTACTGACTCTCTTTAAGGGATCTCTGTTGACCTCCTCAGCATCCTCAGTGTCATTGACATAGTAATATATATTGTATTTCACAGATGCTTTCCCTTCTAATCAGCCCTGTTGATAGAAAGTGTTACAGCCTGCGGTGGCACAGTGGTGCAGGTTGGTACCGTCGCCTCCCAGCAACAAGCTTCTAGGTTCCAAACAGCTGTTCGGCTGTGAACTTCACAGCTCTCTGTGCCTGCATGAATTTTTTCCAGGTGCTCCAGCTTCCTGCTGCTGTTCAAAACATGTATGAAAAAGGCAACTGGTGATTTAAAATTAACCAGAAGTGTCAATGTGAGCATGTACAGTTGTCTGTTAGTCTGATGACCGGTCCATGCTCTGAACCCTCAACCCTCTGCAGGACAAAGGCGGTCATGGATAATAGATGGTTACATTCTGACACTTGCACCAGCTACAGCGTTTCAAACAACAACAAGTTGCTCCCATATGGTTAGTTTTCAAGGTCCTCTGACAGATTAGGGCCTCTCCCAAAGTCAAGAACCTTGGCCTGGCAACAATGCTCTGCCACACACTCCTGCACCAGAAGGTGGAGATGGAGGGAGACCAGCTAAGAGCTCAAAGATGGTCACAGTATAAGACACCCAGGCAATGTTGTGCAAATCCAAGTGTTTCAGTGTAGACAGACATCAGAAAAGAACGTGACCTATGGCCAATGAGAATGGTTGTTAAATGCCACACAGGGCGTTGGCAGACTTCACCATCCAGAGCTCTGTAAACCACTACAGATACATTTTCCTGATAGAGATAGACTAAGAAAAGACAATAAAACAAATTAAAATTCCACAGGCAAATGTGGGGCACTGGACCATGGTTATACAAGCAGAGAGGTGGTACGACACTACATGTGATCTGAAGTTCTCAGGTAGAAGGAACCTGGACTGCTTTTGGCTTTTTGAAGGTAGATGATGGAAAACCTTCAATCCAGGTACATAAACCATCCCTGCATGCATCCTGATCACATAATACTGCACATGACCGGCAGGAAAGACCTGAGAGGTTGTTACCATTACGGGCCCCACTGCAGTGTCAGATATCTGGACTCCAAGGGAACAGTATCTGCTCGGAGACATTTTAACTTCCCTGGTTAACAATAACATTGTCTCAGGGTTGACTTGAGAAAGTGAAGGAGGTTAGAGAGTAGCTATCTGAAAGGCTGGGTGGTTGTTTGTTGGATACTTACTGGAAAGTACAAAAAAACAAAAGGTGTCCCATCAAGATAAGTGTTTTTTTTTTTTTTTTCTATCCTGGATGCTGAGCAGGTCACAGAGCCCTTTGTCACAAACCAATATAGCAATAAAGGACTCATTAAATCAGCAGAGAGAGTATATGTGCAGTGTATTGCTTTAAAGAGAAGTGTGGCTGCAACAAGGCTAAGAATATCCTGGTTACCATCCGTCATAGGCCCAGAGCCCGTTATAAAACGCAAGTCCAATCGCTCCGAATGACGGCGACGCACCATCAAAGGAATTTGACAAAGTCTCAGTGTTTCCTGGACACAAAAACACAATAATGCACAAGTAAATACCATTTGTTATCATTACATATCAGACAATGTTATATTTATGGGCATACATTTAGAAGGCTGTGAATCAAAGGTTTAAGTACAAGAGGGCCCACCTTGTGCCAGCAGAACGATGCCAGCTCCCACTATGACGACAATGATTAGGAGTTTGGCTCCAGTGAAGAAATTCTGCACGTAGCTCGCAAGTTTGACACTCAAACAGTTGATGGTGGTGATTACCACTGAGAAAAAACAAGAAATGTAGTTATATACATTCTCACATGAGCATTTGAAGTTAAACGTCTATCAAAGAAGTTTTACTACTCATAACAGTTTTATTAGTTTTAACCTTTGACATACAATATAACATAACAGTAAACATTTTTTTTTCCTCCTCTGACCTTCAGAGTCGTCACACAAGTCAATTATAAACTCTGCATCTTCAACCGGGTTAGCTGTTTTGTGTTTTTCTGCAGCTAGCAGCAAGTAATTTGTTACTGTAAAATTATTCATTATACTATCTTTAAATGGCTAACTAGATGCAACACAGCAATGACGTTGTATGCAGTTTTAATGTAGAATACATTCACTTACAGCACACTTATGTCTGTGTAGTTTACTTATTTAACCTGAACTTACATATCGCTGCTGCCGCAAGACACTTGACAACAAGAGGAGGAGGAGTGCAGCCGGGGTAGAAAGAAGCGGAGGCATATTCTGCAAAGCTCAGTGTGATGATGGCGAATGAGGAGGGCTTCAGCACCATGACAGTGGTCCAGGAGTAGAGGTAGGCTACAAGGGGGCCAAAGGCCTCCATTAGGTAGGAATACTCTGCCCCTGATTTAGTGATCATGGTGCCGAGTTCAGCATAGCACAATGCTCCTGTGTGACCACAAGCACAGAGAGAAGAAGAAGACGGCTGTAAAACAAATACAAGGAAGCGTTCTCAACATTTTAGGTTGAAAAAGCTCTCATGCCAAAAAGTCGAAGCCAAACATTTCTTTTCAATATGAATCCATGTTAATAACATTATCCCAAAGCATAACAATTCAACCCCAATGAAGCAGACTATAGGACTCCACACTCAGCCCCTGTCTATGTGTCGTCTTGTCTTTTCCTCTTTCTGCTGTCAGTTCCACCTGCTTACTTCCTGTTTACCTGTCTGTTTGCTACCTGTTTGTCCAGCTCCCTGTGTCTTTGTGTTTTTTTCAGATTCTGTTCCCTTGAATTAGTATTCTTTAGTTGAGGTCTTCGCCTGAGGTAATTCCAAGATTTACAGATGTTCTTTTGTTACTGTTGACTCATAGTCCTCATGTGAAGTTTGCTGTAGTGGGTGTTTGTTAGTATTCCAGTATACGGTGGGCTCACCAACACAGAGCATGAGTCTGTGAAGGTGGACCGACCCTGAACATCTGCAGAGTCACACATTTATAGGGTAAGTCAGAGGGTAGGGGGGGGCCTGTATGTAAATACAGAGGTGAATAGAGGTAAATTAACATATAGTTGCTAATCAAATGACCGGAGGTAAGGGGGGGCAATGAACCACAGGGGGTGGAATTGGGTGCCTGTGACAGGAGGTGGGAAAAAACATGGCAACAGGAAATGAATTCAGGGGTCTGTGACCATCAAAATAAAAGAAAATGGCTTTCTTCATCATTACACAGTTCAGTGCATTTTATTAATGTCGCTTTGGTTTGTTTTACCTGCTTGCCTGCCTTTTGTGTCTGCATTTGGATCCTTCTTTTGACTTTACAAACAATATACTGTAAATGAATGCATTTTCTTCTCATTTATAAGATTCCAGATTCAGTTTGTCACCTCATTTTCTCTTTAGCTCGTCCTGAAGGTTTATGTAGGCATGTAAAAAAAAAAAAAAAAAAAGTTTATTCTATACAAACTAATGGCTTTTTAAACATATTTTTAAAAGGAAATATTTGCTCCTCCTTGACAAATCTCTGTTAAAAAGGTGATACACTTTTTTTGATACAATTTTGGTAAAGTTAATTCATTTTTAAAAAACACGCACACAGATCAATCACAGTCTCCGAGAATTCATCACAAGATCTGCAGTTAACTTGTGCAACTGTTGGTATCAAAGTTCGTGCCTCTACAGAGACCTGCACACATCTGACCTGCATGCAAGCATGCCAGGAAAAGTCTTTATTGTCATTGTCATTGCCGTTGAACATCTACAGGAGGGCCAGATATCTTATGAATTCTGCATCGTAACAAGAAGTGTTTGAGGGTAATGTGAGGCCATCTGTCTGAAAGTTGGAACTGGAAGTGGGTCTTTCAACAGATCCCAAGCACATCAGCAGAACCGCCAAGGAGAACGCTCAAAGGGAAGATATGGAGGTCGATGGAACTGTAGAGTCAAAGCCCAGATTTGGAGCCCATTGAAATGTTGCGGGAGGATTTGAAATGGCCAGTACATGCAAGAAAATCTTTAGGCATCTTGCTATTGAGGGATGGAAGTGATCAAAAATCTTATAGACTGGTGGACAATTATACAAAAAGCCTGTAAGAATTTATGTTTGCTTAAGGAGCCAATACATTTCGGAGCCACTGAAGAATGTCAGCTCTATTGGTAGTTTGCACCCTTTTGAAGATGATCAAAGGGTTGCTTGTCCAAAAATGTAAAAAATAAAACTGCTGAAGGAGAGCTCCAAAATGTTTCATTACTGTTAATGCTGATAAAATGAAGTGTTACGTGGATAGTATTTTTACACCACGGTGACTCAGACATGATTCTTCCTAAGATAAGGGCAGAAAAGAGGCAATTAAGTTATTGCATTTTATTGGCTCCTCCAAGGGCAGAGGCTTACTTGTGACCTCATTCACCACTAATTAGTGCGTAGCAGCACAGCGTGAGACTTTAACAGGAAGTGCTATAGGTCGTCTCTGAGGTTTGCACATTTTTGTGATTCTGACGAGATGTTTTTACTTTTTGAAGTGCATTTTTTAAATTTTCTAATTCTTTCACCTCTGAGGCAGCTGGAGTCTCTTGGATTTGCATTAATTTATAATAGATGTGTTTTATTTTATCAACCTGTTGTGTCCTGTAGTGTGCGCGCATCACTGAACCAATCTCAGCATCCTTATTAGCAAAGAAGATCCAATCCTACTGCGACTACCACAGTAGAGCTGCCACAAAGCCCAGCTTATGAGGTTTACTTGCTGAGTAACATCAGCTGCTTTATAACTATTTTTGTCCACCATTATTTACACATGCATATGAAGGGGAAAGAATATTGTCAATACAACCACACCCCTGTAAAAAGTTATGCATCGGTTTGAATGGCGATCTCACCCATGGTGGCTAACACGCCACAGGCGGCCCAGATTAAGAGGCAGGGTCCCACGGCTCCAGAGTACAGCAGGACAGACTTTGGAGAAATGAAGATGCCCGAACCAATCATTGTGCCCACAATCAGAGAAATCCCACTCAGCAGACCAACCTGAGCGAGCACGTAGACAAAAAAAAACACACCTGAGTGAACACGTAGACATGATATTCAGTGCCAGATCTCAATCTCACCAGATCTGATAAAGATTAGATTAGGATAGAGAAATGGTGCAACAATCAGGGCAAGATTCTCATCATGACTTGCCAACTGGAGGTTTAAAGCTGTAGCAAACGAAACAGCAGTAAGAGCTCATTAGTATGTTTAATCAGTTACTACAGCTTTACATAAATAGATACATAACGTCCAAGGTCTGTTTCTTTTTTTTTTTATTAGAAGGTAATTTACATAATTTTATATTTTTGGAATTTCGTTATACTGCTTTCTATTCCATTATGCAATTATGGACATTAAATGTACTCTTCTTTTTCATGCTGGTGGACTTGTTTCAGGTTTGGCTGTATCAATAAGTTGAATGGTTCACATCTTTGGTCCAGACTGAGGTATGAATAAACTAATTTCCATGATTTTTTCATGGTTCCCAGAAGATGAAGCCATTTTCTCTAGAGCCACACTGAAGTTGACAGGTTGTTTTTGAATAACAAGTTTTAAAAACTACTTTATGGATTTCAGTGAGGGCTGCAAGGTGGCTCAGTGGTTAGCACCGTCGCCTCACAGCAAGAAGGTCGCCGGTGGATGGATGGATGGATTTCAGTGAAATTTCACACGGCACAACCAGCTGGTCATAGTTGTCACTTATCCAGTTAATTATACAAACGTACATCATGAACTTGGCACAAAATTACACACTGACATTCATGGTCATTTATTTTATCCGACGTTTTGATTGAAGGACAAATACTCACAAAACTGACAACATTGCCATCAGTCTAACTCCAGCAATAGTTTACATTTTGCATTTCAGCATTGACAGTGTGTGCATGTCAGCAAAATAAAAATAGCATTTAGTTAAAAACCCAATTGTGCTGGAATCAGAATTGCGTACGTAGTTGCTAGCATGGCTCTAGATGCTTTGTCATGGGATTCTTGCTTATTCACCCATTTAACTAGGATGGATGCTTTGGAGGAACCCAAATTCATCCCGCACGAATAATGGACTCTGAACTCTATTTTTTCAAATAACCAAACAAATAATTAATTATTAGGCGAAAAGTAAGTAGTGCCAGTAGTTTAGAAAAATTATCAGAATAATCCTGTTTTATCCAGTGAAACCTCTTCACTCCCCCTAAATTTACCTTGGAGCTTAGAGAGCTTAGGGGGCCTGGACAGCAGCGCAGAGTAGATGATTGTGGATTTAATATGTAGAGACGCTTGTTGTGGTACTGCCTGGTACTAAGTTCCAGCCCCCATTACTGCAAAAAGGTACAGATGACCGGATTCTACAGTGTGAACATCTAGTGAGGCTCGTTCTCAGGGACCCAGACACACATGAAGGGCAGTGGAAACACTCACATCTTTATGAAGCACGGTGGCCTTCACAGTCTCCTTGTGATTGGTGTGTTCCTTGTGGGCAGTGGAGCCATTCTGTGACTCCTTCCTCCTCCTGACGCTGTCTTTGTCCATTTTAATCTGCTGGTGCATTAGAAAACGCCAGGGCGTGCATAGATTTTACATCAGTTATGTTTAACTTTTACAAGAAGTTCATCTTTGCTGCCCCATCGATGATTATCAACATTATACACATGACAAGATAAGGTTTACAGGAAACCAGCAGTAAATGCTTTCCTTCATATAGCTATATAATAAAACACACACAAAGAAAAAAAAACTCAATCAAAATCCACCCCAAAACAAGTTTATTTACAATGTTAATCCTGTGACCGAACAGATTTTTTTTTCACTGTAAATTGCACAGTTTGGCACCAAATTTCAGCACATGTTCCAATTGATTTTTATAGTTTGCTAGTGTAGTATTTTAGCGCTGAAAGGTTCCTGGACCACTGGTGCATTAACTGCGACAGACGAGCAGATTAGTTTTCAGCAATGATCACCTCAAAAGCTAATCCTGCGTTTTATTATTTTAGCCTGCAGTCATTTTATCTACTCGACTTCTATACAACCCCAGACGTGCACACATGCATTAACCTTTACATACCTGTTCTTGTTCTGGGACAAGCCTTCGTGTTGTAAAACTTTTTTTTATGGGTAAAACAGGTTGAAGGTGAAACAAACATTAAAAAAGAGAGGAGGAAAAAGAGTCATTTTAACCACACTCTCCACTACAATGTTTAACATTGCATTGTAGTGTTAATCTTTGACAAACATGATAACATTCTTGCTTGTTAACTTAAAACCGTGAAAACACAGAACATGTTGAATGGATGAATATATGACAGTGAGTTCACTGACATGCTGTCTGATACATACTTTTTTTAAAAAAGAACAATTCAACAAAATGTTTCACTTACATATTGCTTGGAATAAAACCACCTCAATGACGCTCCATGAAACTTGAAAGTTTTGCAAACCCAGGAGCAGTTCCGTGAACACCACAAATGATGCTACGCCAGGTTAAGGGAGGGAGAGCAGGAATGTCTTATGCAAATAAAAACCTTTTCGGTCCCTGAGACTGAGCCCTCTCTGCTGGTGGGAGGTTCCCAAATCCGATTGGGCATCTTGAAAGAAAAGGGGGATGGGTTAAGGCAAGAAAGTAGAGAGCGTGGCAAAGTTCTGAGTTCATAAAATCCATCGGTCAGAGTTCAGAATGGAAGTGTCCAGGAAAAGGAGTAAAAAAAAAAAAATTACGACTGTTGTGGGCTTTTATTCTTTTTTTTTGTTTGTTTATTTTCATACCATTTCAGCAAAAATAATGAATATAGATTGTCTAACTATATGAGGCAACAGTAATTGAGACTATGGCATTATAACAGCAAGAAAAACGTGTGATAAACATGCATTTGTTGTATTATTAGCTCTTTTGAGACAGTTCACTTCATTTGTTGCTCAGATAGCCTTCCAGGAGTCCCACAAGGAAGCTACAAAGGATGATCTGATACATTTTTTTTAACACAGAAATCTCAAAAACACCTCCTCCTCTGTGAGCTTACCAAGCCTGACTTCCTCGACAATGCCTCTTTGATAAGGATATACGACACCCCTGCAGTTGTGTGCTTGTGTGTGTGTGTTTGTGAGTAACATTCCCTTTCTGCTCTAACCCCCTCTTTTCCTCTTGTCGTCAGAAGTCTCTGCCTGTCAGGGAACTTGCAATTACCCTGTCATGTTACCCTTCGTTTCTGAGCAGACCTATTCTCTATTGTATTGACAGATCTCATTAAATACTTCAGCATCAAAAGTCGAGCCTCTGCCTCGTTGAGCCAGGCTTCCGTTCGCCTGCACATGTCTAAGCTCCAGCTTAAGTTGCAGACTTGTTACAGCCTTTGAAATTAGACAGTAAAGCTAAATATGAGAGGAATTTCTTTGAAAGAGTGAAGACATTCGCAAAGTGTGTGTCTATGTGCATTTGTGAATGAATGTCTGTAGTTTTTGAGCTCAAACTGCGATGTGTGTCCACGGCATGCTTCGTCTCCAGCTGAATTTCTTCAAAATCAAAGCTAAGACTTACTTCATTGAGCCGGTTTTAAAGTGAGTTATTTTCATGCATGTACAAAATGTAGCAGGGTAAATAAACATCCAAGAAGTGACTGTGGTTGTTCATTCTAACAGTTATGTCTCAAAGGTGGCATCTTCAACAATAATTCAGACAGGACATGCAAAAAAAAAACAACTATTGATTTCTTACCTCCCTTCGTGGCTGCGGTTCCCGAAGCACTTGCTGAAATACAAAAGCAATGTTTTGTTTTGTTTTTTATAAAGCTTGTAGGAGAATTTGAACTGTTGTCGCAGACGCAGTTATAATCTGCAAACACAAGAACACATTGACATATGAACTCAGTAACCCTGAGAATAAGGACTTATGACCAAGTTCTCAGACATGTTCAGTGGGGCTTAGACCAGACTGGGTGCATTAACAGCAACAAAACGCGGTCTTGGAAAGCCAGTGCAAGAAAATATTCTGCAACAAAAAAAGGGAAGGCGGAATCATTTTTTGAAAAAGCAAGATTCATTGTGTTTATTTATTTATGTGACCTTTCAGTTGAACAGATTTGCAGACAGCTGGAGCTGTGAACACCATAGTAACAGTCATTTACTTACATAATGCTGAATTACTAGAAAGCACAAACATTAAGAGTTCAAATGCTGAAAAGTGTTTGGAGCGGTTGTACTGCACAATATGACTAAACTCAAATGACTCAGTGGACATCGTGTTGAATTTTGCAAGATATATAATTACCACATATTAGAGTTTCATGCTTTATTTTGCTGAAAAGATAACGTACACTCCTTGTATACATGCAGTCTTGGTAAATCAAAGACCTTAACCCAACAGAGGAGTGCCACGGCCGGGTACGCTCGGCCTGCACCAAAAGGCAGCTTTCCATAGCAGGAACTCAGGGCAGGCACAAGGTGGCGTGAATGTTAACAGGAATGGCCCCTTAATCAGTTTCCATTGTGCTGTATGATCCAACAGCTGCAACCACAACATTAACTACAGTGCATCAAAATATCAGCAAATAGTGTATACTGGACGCAATTTCAGTTTTATAAGTATGTAGGAAATTTTGGGTGTGTTATGTTAACCTATTGGGTTAGCACTATTGCCTCACAACTAGTAGAATCCCTGGGGTCTGCATGTTCTCCCTGTGCAGTGTGGGTTCTCACCAAGTACTCCGGCTTCCCCCCCACAGTCCAAAAACATGCTGAGGTTAATTAGTGATTTAAATTGTCCGTAGGTTAGAATGTGGGTGTGTTTGTTTGTCTGTATGTTTGCGGTAGAGTGGCGACCTTTCCAGGTTGTCCACTGCCTTCACCCTGACCCACGACCCTAAGATTAAGCAGTGCATAGATAATGGATGGATGGATGTTCACCTATATGGTGAATTTTACATTGCTGATGGTGATGTTAGAGGGGACGCTGAGAAGGTAGAAAAATGGTGCTCTCTGAGTTTAGGCCGTCAGCATTGAGCTCTGCATGACAAGTTTTCAGGGCCACATAGAGACACCTACCTTGGAGTAGATACATTTTTTTCTCTTTTTGTTTTTTTTCTTTCAAATTCAATCTTGAAAGAGGTTCTACATGAGTGGTTGTTTCAGTCAGAACACGCCCAATGGTTCAGACCGCCATAAATGGCCTGTACAGGTGAAAGTAACCACAAAATGAATGACCAAAGGGTTTTCCAATAAAATATTGGATTTAACAAGATGATTTATGTCATAGACTTCACCTGTCAGTGGTTTTAATGTTGTAGCAGAAAAGGGGAAAAAAAAAAATTAAAAAGCCTACTTTATGAGTTGTTGGAACCTTCTGATTGATCTAAGCTGTTGTGCAAAACACTATCAGGACTAGATAATAAGTGTTTAAAAATTAAAGAAAAACGCAAGTCAATGAATAACTACACAATAAAGAACACAAACGAATTTAGAGGATTTAGTCTTCAGGACACACCTCAGTCTGTGTTGGGTCGGTGGGAAACAGGTCTTCCAGCCTGCAGGTGGCGGAAGCAGCTCCTGTGTGTGTCTCCGCCTATTGAACACGTCACTTCCGCCAAAACAAACATGGCGGCCAGAGTGAGTGAGTGACCGGGGTCCAAACTTTCAGAGACATTCTGTGAAAACCAAGAAACACTGCGTTAGTTTCAGCATGAACACGGCTCTGAAGCACTGGAAAGAAGCGGCCACTCTCATTTTAGCCGCAGGACACCGGCTCGGCCCGGACACTTTATCGTCAAGGACACCGCTGGCAGCTTCCGCAGTTTCCCTGCCGGGCAGCAGCCATGGTCGGTCACAGCTGCCGCACAAGTCCCGCTACGACTACGACGTGTTGCTACTGAAAAGAAGCGGCAAGAGCGGTTTCATGCCCAACGCTTACGTTTTTCCTGGCGGGTTGCTGGACTCCTCGGACTTTTCGAGTGATTGGCTGGACATTTTCAAATCTTTCAGTCAGTTCCCCAGTTTTGGTTTGAGAAGCGTCAAGCAGCCGGTGGAGACCAGACCGCCGATCTTCGCCACGGACCGGCGGAAGCTCGGCTCTCCCATCCCCGGAGAGGTCGCCATCCGGATCTGCGCCTTGAGGGAAACGTTTGAGGAATGCGGCGTGCTGCTGGCCGTGTCAAAAACGGAGGCGAAAAGTATGTTAAAAAGCTCAGAGGACGTTTGTGCCGCTCGACAGCACGCAGTAAACGAGCTGGACGGCGGTGAGCTCAGTAAATGGAGGGCTCTGGTGAACCAGAACCCCTCCAACTTCATCAGGATGTGCAGGGAGCTGGAGGTGCTGCCCAACATCTGGGCTCTGCACGAGTGGAGCAACTGGCTGACCCCCATAGGAAGATATGGCACCAAGAGGTTTGACACAGCTTTCTTCATATGCTGCTTGCAGGACGTCCCGCACACACTTCAAGACGAAAACGAAATCGTGCGCTTTCAGGTAACCAACATCAAGTCGTTACAGAGCATTTACACATGCTAGCACCTCAACCAAAAAAATAATGCAGTTTTCTAGTCAAGGGAACTCAAAAACATGGTTCTTTACGCAACATTTTAAAAGCACAGACAGTGGTTAAGTAAATTGAGTCAAATGAGTCCATGCAAAAGGCCCAATGCTGCATTTATCACAGATCCTAATTGAATGGTCTGCTCCCTAAACATGCTGATCCCCTTGTTTATGTTTTATGGTAGCATTAGACGACAGATAAATGTCGTGTTATTGTCAATGCTGGTGGATAGTAGTTCACAAAAAGGCTTAGCATGCAGTTTGAATGAAAACTGTCCCATTTCGAACAGTAAGCAACTTGGAAAAAAGATTTTCTAACTTTGAGAGCACAACTACAGACAGTGTTCCCAACTCAGCTTGAATAGATCGCCAATAATTCTCCTCAAATGTGTTCATATGCTTCCATTAAAGAAAAGGCAAAATTCACAATAGTCACTCAAATAAGTAGAAACTGAAAAAAGTAATAATAAATAAAAATTTGTTAAATTATAATTTAGTGAAATACGGCATTGCTTTTGAATTGTGGTTGAAAAGAATAATTTGAAAAAACAAAATTGTCCCAGACAAAGCAGTGAGCAGTGGGACAAAATACCTGTCAACAGGTGCAGGAGTCTGATTGAGAGTTACAGAAAACACTTGATGGCAGTGATTGGCTCAAAGGGTTGTTTAACAGATTATTAGTTTACGGGCCCCATCATGCTTGTTTGCTTGTGTTATTTTTTTTGTGTGTTAATGAGAGAGTACGAATAAAGTTGAGGATGACTGTAGCTATCAAACAATATCAAATTATCAATTCAAATGTGGTTTTCTTGCTGCTGGGGGGGAAAAAAATCAGGAAAGTAGACTATTTAAGAAATTGGTGTCTTTTCTGTTCTTGGGTCGTTAATCAAACCCCTGAAAACTCATCTGATTGTATTAGTCACATATTTAGATTTTTTAAAATATTTTTCAAGAACGTAATTTCTTCATGCCTTTAAATGGCTCTACGCTCCTCTTTCTCTCTCCACCCACCCCTCCCTACTCACTGCAGCTCCAGCACACCTGCTCACCTGCCCAAACACTGTAAAACTACTCTACGCTACTCAATGGTGAGTTGTAATATTGGAGTAATTCAGCTGTACGTGTTGGAACAGGAACATGTTTTTATTGGGAGAAAGAGTGCTGATACAGAAAGCCCCACGTAGCAAGTTGACAGGATTTGTTCTTTTGGTTTGTTGTGTGTGAAACCGTGGTTCTCTGAATCCATCTTTTCGAGGCTGTCATCGTTACACTGCATCTTCAAGGTGGAAATGCTCAGCTGTGGCATTGACTGCTAATTTCAGGACATAAAACAGCTCCCTATGGACATACTAACAAGGTAAACCATTACAGAGGGGGGCATTAAACACTGCCTCACTGTGTGTTTCAGTGGTCCACACCTTCAGAGATTCTGCAGAGCTTCCAGGCGCGGGAGTTGTGGATCCCGCCTCCGCAGTTCTACGAACTCAGTCGCATGTGCCGCTTCCCTTTGCTGAATGACCTCCACGGCTTCGCCCGCCAGCGCGCCACGGAGGGCTGCGAACAGTTTCTACCTGTCATCGTCGTTACGGATGAACACTCGATGTCACTGCTGCCAGGTGCTGATTGTCAAATGTATCTCATCTAATGTCCAAGTCGACTATGATGTATGCCACGTTGATGTCTCATTGATGCTGTTTTTTTTTTTTTTTCTGGCTCTCTGGGGCTCTCTACTCATTTCAGGTGACAAACTTTACCCATCGGACACTTCAGAAAAGCCTGAGGTTGATCAGAGCGCTAACTCTCAACCGCAGGATCCTCAGGAGGATTCTGCACTGCACCGCATGGTGATGTCCGACCCGTACACTACAACTATACAGATCACCATCCTGCCCAAGCACAACCACCTGCTCCCTGTTGCCTTGACACATGACTCAAAAAGTCAGCTTTGACCTGCTTTAAAACTCTTCCTATTCCAGTACATATAGAAATATAATATATGGGGAAAAGAAATCATGAATAAATAGATCTTTATTCTAATATCTTTATTGTTTACCAGTTTTATTTAATTTTCGACTGCGTCGGATTGTTTTTCGTTTGATCTGCTCTTTTGGGAAAACGCCCCTGATCTGTCTCGCTTGTTCTTTATATAACAAACATACAATTGACAAATCTGAAGTGACCACTGATGGCCTTATTCTACCCTGGACTTTTAGGTTCTTAGGTACTGATAGGCACACAGATATTCATTTCCATATGTGGTACACAAAAGCTGACGTCACTTTAAGAGACTCTAAAGCGGTTCGATCAAAAGTAGTTTAAGCTGCTGGGTTTTGTTTGGTTAATGGTGCCGATTCAAAATATAGGAATAGTTTGTTTAGAAATACTGTATATCAGTCAGATGTGACTTTTTTTGTTATTGTCTAATGTGTCAAATCTCTTGTCTAAAATTTCAAACCACACCCCTCATCCCCCCTGTGTAATAAAATGTGACTTGAAAATAAATTCAAAATATTTTTTTGTTCTTTGCAAGGAAGCCTCCTGGAGTGAGTTCATCTAAAAATGCGCCACACTGCAAATAAAATCATTATATAACCACTTTTTTTTTTTTTAGCTTGTAACCACAGAAACAGGCTGCTTACCAAATATACCAAAGGGATTTAGAGACAACACCTGCAGCTAATAGGTGACGTGTGAGCGTCTGCTGGAATTACTGGTGTTGTGGGGACATGAAGCTGTTTACATTGTCACACTGTGAGGACTCGCTTCATTTATTTTTGAAGCCGAAAAATAACATAAATCTTTCAAACTGGCCTTTAGACGTGGTTGAGTCAGCAGGAACGTAATGTCGACTGAAGCATGACTGCGTACCGGGCTGGTGTTATGGTGATCCCTCTCCATAGGAATGCATATGTCAGTGGTGGAGGCTCTGCAGGGCTTCCACCTTTTCTCCTTTGGGTGTCTTCCCTGCTCACTGCAGCGTCCTTCATGGCAAATTAATGACTCATAAGACATAATCTCTGTCAAATGGGTTGTACCCCCCTGTCTGCCATTTCTAAATTAGTTCATTATTAAACAGATCAATTTATTCATTATTAATTTGAACTTTTCAGTGATGCTGTCTCGACCTGCTGTTAGGTGATTTGTGCTACACCGTGTGATGCTTTGTGATGCTGGTTAATGAGCTGATTTAAATAGGGAGAATAATGAATGAAAGCAAAGGTACTTCTGATGCGTCGCCTTCGCCACATCAAAACAACGTCATAATGCTGTTGCCTGTTTAAGTCACAAGAGCTGCCCTTAAGTCACTCTGACCTGACAGAAACATTTGCTCCCAAAATGATGAGACACGCCATGACAGGTCAGCTCCTCTCAATCTTCATTTTCATCTTTCTGACATATTTTGTCCGTCAGCGCCATAAAAGCTGCAGAGGTTTTCGTCCCCTTTTCGGCGCTGCCCTCCTCCGTCCTTGCACCGGCGTGCGTGTAGGACGTCGGTGGCGAGAAACGGGGGAAGAGTTGAAATAATGCCGCTCAACCTTCTGTGCCGTTCGCGGAGTCTGTTGAAGGTTTCTATGGCAACCAGCACAGCCTTGGAAACCCACCATGTAAGTGCAGATGAAGTGATGATGCAGTGGTCTGTCTCTGCCAAGTGTGCAGCTCACCTCTCTGTGAACCAGTCTACTTAGTATATTTGTTTCCAAGCGACGGAGCGAAGCGAATAAGTGGCTCCGTCATGCATGAGTTCAAATGAAACACCTCCAAATAACTGCGGAGAAAGTCGATTTATTCACCTGTAATGGGTCAATGTTTATACCTAGTGAAGCACTCTAAAAGTTTGATGCTGTGGCTATTTTGAGGAGCAGCTTGCATAACAGAGACTGCACAAAAAAAAGAGAAAAAAGTCATCTGAGGATGCCGGTCTCAAAGTTGCATGAACGTTCCTCTTTTCTCTTGGAACGTGTGGGACGACTTTTAAAAGTACAGCATTCGAGGAGGCTTTATCTCTTCCCCCTATTTACATCTCCTCCCTTCCTTTCCCCATGTTTAATTAATCGCTTTTATATTTTTGGATCTGTGGACGACAATGTAAGTCTGTCATGAGTTTTAAGAGATTCGAGGTTCATGACTCACTGTTCGCAGAGCTTAGTGCCTCCGTGAAATGACAACGAGGATAAACAAGATGTCAGAAAGCCTGCTGTGAATCGGATGTGAGCGTAGCAGGCCCACTGATTTTCATGCATCACAAAAAAATGCTCTCAGCTCCGTGGTCTGGGTGCTTTTAGGAGCTGACCTATCTTGCATTTTAGGGTTTTTTTTTAGGGGGGGTACAATCTTCTATTAATGTTTCTCCGCAGGGTTCCAACCTTGAGGCTGAGAAAAGACAGAAAGCATAAGAGATAAAACAAAGGAAAACAGAAAAAGCCATTTAAGTACTCTGTTGAATTAACATTTAATGTCCCCAATGATTGCTGTCTTAATCTGTAATGGGAATACTCCACCCTTACAAGCTTTTTTTTTTTTTAGTGTAAGAAAAATGTGATTTTGCTCCGTGCCATCCATTACTCCCACGAGGAGTCAGGTCTCTGCTCAGAGGAGGAGGGTAGCTGTGATTAAATCATTTGAGATGAATGCACCGAGCCTGCAAAAGGCTGAATGGACTCTAAATGCCAGAACTCTGTTTACCATACACAATTACTCAAGAACCTCCTTGAGAGTGGGGACATGATCATTAGAGCTCATTTGACGTGCAACTGTTGAACTACAAGCAATTAAACAGATTTTCACATCAAAGCACTTTTTTTTTTTTTTAGTAAGATTATGTCTTCAAGACTAGTTGTCATCTTCAGTGCTCTTAATAGGCAGGTGGTGGAGACGTTTAGCAATCCTGAGATCACTTTTTAGCATCTGTATTCGTCACTTTTTACAATCCTGCTTATAATACTATAAGCAATATGTTTTAGACTGAAGAGCATTGTTCTTTTTTCTTTGTCACCCAGCAGTAGATCTCTGTTTTAAATCAATATCAACTGCAAGATTCCCAAAGAAATTAGTTGTAATTAAATCCTTGAAACATTTTTTTTTAGAAAGGAATTCTGTAAAATGGTAAACTTTAGTTGAAGATCTAGTTTTTTTTTTTATTAATATCTATATATTTTCAGTTTTTGTCCTTTTTACTTATTAATATGCATCACTGGCCAAATGTGCTTTCAAAATGCCCACAAAACTGTCACATAAAAGGAAGATGGATATGAAATGTTATGTATCTGCCCTCTTAATTTCTTAATTTTTGATAAAACCTTTACACACAAAAAAAAACCTGTAAAGAAAGAGGGAGATATGATCATTTTCAGCGTGATTCCTGTGTCTTCATTTCTGAAACTGTGCAGCATTTGCAATGCTAAATACCGACTGCAGTCAGATGTTGTGTGATCAGGAGGTTAACACCATTGCGAGCTGTGATCTCAGCCTTTGGTCTCAACGCATGTGATTAACTTAAAACATGTTGCAAACTGAAAAACAAACCATTCTGTGTTCGTTCCTTAAAAGTGTTCCTGCTGCGACCATTGCACATCCACCCTTAACAAACAGCCAACCGTGCTGAACCTTTGACATTTGACATCCAACAGCCTATGTACCAGTCCCAGAATACCTGCAAAGACTCTTACAACTAAAACCATTAGGGAGTTAAAGCATGTGGCTTAGCCTCCTTCCCATTTTAAATCAAACAGTATTTTAGCCGCAGTGTGGTTAAGTCTAAGATAATAATCCTTTGCTTAAAATACCTCTCTGTGCATTGGACATATGCACATCTTGCAGTGATTACAAACTGGAAATAGCTTTGGGTTCAGCGACTTTATCTCAAATGCAGGTATGAAATATCCCCTCCTCGCCAAACAAAGAGACGTGAAATCCACGAAAGCAGCTGCAGAGGTATCTCTTCCAACTACGAGCACGGGTTTTTGTTTTTGTTTTTTTCGTGTGTGTTTCAAAGTTTTATTATAATAAATATACTTGATTGTATGTACATTATCTGACACAGCAGTAGACTGTATGTACAAACCTTCTATACACATGTTGCAATGCATACATTCAACACTGTTTTGCAAGAAAACCCTGAAAAGGAACATGAACAGGCTTACAGTGAACGGGTGCATTATTAAACGACTGTGGAGGTCTCTTAGGTTTCCAAGGCTCTCATGAAGCACATTGTGATTTGATGCAATGAAGTAAGATGCAGGCCCACTACAGTCTGGTATATAGATTATTATGATCTATATTATGGTTAAACTGTGCTAACATGGGTGTAGAACAGTGCAGAGTTGATCACATCCAACCAGTGGGATTTCAAGAGCAAAGAACAGCCTAACTGTAGCTCCAAAACAACATGACCCTAACACTTTCTTGACTAGTTTTTTGTCCACCCTCCTCTTCCTCCTCTCAACACGTCTGACTTTCCTGGATGGGAACTCTAAAGCATCAATCCGCAGAACGTCAAGGGGAATACTTAACAGTAGGCTACATTTATGCTTGAGCTTTTCCACTAATCCACTTGGATTACGTGTTGTTTATATCAGCCTGATGGCCAGACACTGTCACGTAATGTTATGGCTTTTTTTTTTTCTTTTTTTTTTTTCCTTTTCCAAAAATAGGCTCCATGGCCCCCTCAAAAAAAAAAATACTCCATTCTCTCTGAATCACACCGGCTATGTTGTTCTAGTACACATTTATCTAGTGCAACTCCTCAACTCCACCCAATACATTCACAAATCTGAGAAAGATTAATTACTTCAAGTGTCCACGATGTTTTGTTTTTTTCTAAAAAATCATCCCCTCAAGCCCACAAAACTTTCTCTGCGTAATGGAGCAGCCGGGTCTCTGGCCCCACGGCGATGCTCCCGTGGCGCAGCGGCCCGGCAGGATGTCCGTCAGGGTTGGTACAGTTCAGGACATGTTGATGACCAGGTATCCTAGAACCAAAGCGGCTGTGACGATGACAAAGAATACAACCACGGCGCAGATCGACGCGAAGCCCGCATCCCTGCCTCCTCCGCCCTCCTCCTCTTTGGGCTCCTCTTCGCAGATGGAGATGACACCCACGGAGGAATTTCCTACACTCATGTTGGACTTGAGCTCGGCTCCCGCCTCCTGCTTCGCCTCGACGGCCCACGGCGCCACCTGCACCTTCATTTCCATCTCCTCCATCATCTGGGTCACCTGGGAGATCTCGGCCTGCAGGTCCCGGAGGTCCGCCGTGTCGATGTTGCTGTCCGCCTCGTACTTCATGTTCTGCACGCTCATGGCCCGGGCCGCCACCGTGGTGGTGCTGCCGGTCATCCCCGTCTGGATGAGGTGTCTCGTCGGCACCTTGAGGGGGAATTCCTGCCCTATCTCCAGGGAGCGTTTCATGTCCACCTCCAGGAGCTCCATGCTGCTTGAGAACAGCACCCATAGGCGCTCGTACTCGGCCCGGTCCTCCTTGCTGATGGTCTTGTCTTTGAGCAGAGCGGTCAGTTTAGTCCTGTTGGCCA